GGGAGCAATGACAGCGAATTATGGGCGATTTCCAGGTTGAGAACCATAGATATGGGGTACATAGAAGCAGAACCAATAAATTGGCAAGAAATATTTTTAATCCTTAGACAGGAAAAAGAGGCTAAAACAGCACCTGGACATGGATGGCTGGTGCCTCTATAAATAAATCATTGATGGTCAAGGTCGAGGTGCCAGATAAGGGCAGCCTCCGCCTTGCAGCAACCCAAGAATTTTCGTGTTTTTTTTTAACCTAGAATCTAGATCTAGATATTATATAGATTCTAGATCTAGTATAGATCTAGCTTTAGCTTTAGATTCTAGATTTAGATCTAATCTAGATTCTAGTAAGTAGCTAGCCCTCGAATGTCTTGAAATTTTAGTGCTTTTTCTGTAGTTCCCACCCCCTTATTTGAGCCTAGATCTAATTTTCGATCTATACGTTTGATGCGCATCAAACCTAACAACAGCAAAACATCAAATGATGATAAAATCTGGGGGCATGCCCCCATGAAACCCCCCACCTTATTTTTATTAGGTCAGGGGGGCCTTGCCCCCTGATAACCCCCTACTCTTGGGGCCAAAACCTGCAAATAACAATTGCGGGGTGGGAACTACCGAAAAAGCGCCTTCCTTATCTATATTTAGTAAATTTTTACAGTGCAGTCCGTCTAAAGTGAACATGTTTTATTGAACAATTGGTTTAAGTGAACGATATTATGTGGTCCCAATTGAAACGTTTGTTTAAAAGTTAAAAAACAGTGGATAAAATTAACCGGTTTCATGGAGAAATCGGATAAGATGAATGCCCAAAATGAGTGAAAGCGAAGAGAGGACCGACCGTGTCACTGTCGCCATGCTGTGAAAATAAAATTCTTTGCCTTAGGCATTGGCAGACAATCCCAGCTTGGCGTTGGCGGTGCAATCCGTAAGAAGGAGCTCTAGTTTAGGCTCGTCCGGTGTGTTTTTCCCCCACCCCATCACTTCGCACTGACACAGAATGCATTAAATTCACATTGTATTTGTATGGAGGTTCGATCAAGGGACGCAACCCATAAATCGAAAACTCTTTCACTTGGTATCTTGTTGCTTCTCTTGATTTTGGCCAAAATGGGGTGACCCTCAGAAAAAGTGAACACTTTCTTTTGGTACCAAAGAGTTCATTTTTAAAAACAGACTCCACTGTTCTTTTAGACCCACACACAAATGCACAGTTTTGAAGGCTAAACTGCCATAATTTTTGCTGCAGAACACATTTGTGGCGTGGCCACTAAAACCCTTGCAAATCAATTGTTCAAGTAAATATATGTATATCAATCGTAATTGCCAAAACTTCAAATCATGCTGCAATCATGCCCCCCCCCAATTCTTTTCAGGTCTTTGTCTTTGTGTGTGTGGGGGGGGGGGGGGGGAGGTAGGTGGATGCAGTGAAGATATGAGACCCCCCAGCCCACCCCCTCCCCCTTCTAAAAAAATTCAGTTAAAAATGGCAATCTCTACCTAAGAGCAACCAAACCTTGCTTCCCGAGGGGGTTGCCGTTAGAACACTACTTTAAATCTAATGTTTTTATATCAAATCAACTCAAATCAACCACATCACCTGTTGCCGAGCCTGTAATCAATTTCATATTGATTGTTGTCGTATTTAAATTAGTAATTTAATTTTACTTGTGAAGTTGCTGTTTAGCCAATACTAAAACGATTTGCTTAGAATGAATCAAATGTTTGCTGATGATCGGTCTGCATCTGTACAGTTCTAAATTCAGGTTCTAGAAGTAAATCTCCTAAGATAATGGATTGAATGTAAGTACTGCAATTGAAATTGTCCAAGACAGCCACTCATTGTCAAGAAGAAAAGTGGTTGTTCTAGACCGGTGGATAGTGTTGTTATATAATAACAGTGTAGAAAGGAATTTTATAGACTCTGTGACTCATGCTTTTGACTGCACTATGTAGGCCTATAGAATTTCCTTGGTCTATAGAGTTAAATAGTCGAAAGACTCTTGTCCAGCTCTTTACTTCAGGGTTGGTGATTCTTTAAATAAAAATTTTAAAAATCGATTTATTTTTTTAAATCAGATTTTAAAAAATTTAAATCGGATTTTTAAATTATTTTTTTTTATGTCAACACAGTTTGGGGTTTTTGGTGGTTAAAAGTATGTTCTTTTAGTGCAAAATGCATTGTCTTTATTTTAACTAATGATTAATGTTAGCAACTGCAAAAGAAAGCCTTAGAATCTGCTATGTCAGTGAATTATGGCTACAGAAAAATGAGAAGAAAATGTCAGTCTATAAAAGGAAAGGGGGGGGGGGTAATTATGATTAGATAAACTTGCATTTTGTTACAGTGTGTGAGTGTGTGCGCACTTGTGTTTGTCTAAAAAGAAAAAGAAAATGTTAATTTCAATTATGAAAAAGTAAATTGAATACTGGATTATTTTACAGTGACAAGGGGGAAAGCAGACTTTTAAGCCTGATTATATTAGTCTACTAAACCTATATCTGTTTAATAAAACCAAGGAAAGGAATTCTGAATGTTTAAATATGTAAAAACTGAATACACTTTTTAAAAAGTGATTTAAATCACTGATTTTTTTAAAAATCAAGTTGATTAAAATAGAAAAAATCAACTGATTTAAATCGACCCAGCTCTGATTTCAATTATGGAAAGAAAAGTAAATTGAGTACTGTATTATTTTACAGTGAAAGGGGGGAAAGCAGACTTTTAAGCCTGATTATATATTAGATCAAGTCTACTAAACCTTATATCTGTTTTATGAAACCAAGGAAAGGAATTCTGAATGTTGAAATATGTAAAAACTGAATAAATTATTTTTTTTAAAGTGATTTAAATCACTGATTTTTATTTCAAAAATCAAGTTGATTAAAATTTTAAAAATCAACTGATTTAAATCAACCTAATTTAAATCAACCCAACCCTGCTTTACTTGCATCGAATGTCACATCATTCAGTGTATGATTGACAGAATATTGTCCTTTCTCTAGGACTTGTATGGTACACATATAATGCATCTCTAGATCTATTAAATTTTTAGTACTGACTTTCTAAAGTTTTACTAACCCTAATAAATCCACCCCTTCCCCCTTCCTAGAATGCTTGATGATATAAAGAAAAGAGAAATTTCTTTCTGTAGCAAACAATGCTTTTTGATTTATTTTGTTTTAAAAAATATTTTACTTTTATTTTATTTTACAGCAAAGTATTTTGACTGTCTGGGCCGGACGCCCTTCGCCTCTTTGCTGGCTGCGTTAATGGTCGTAATTGGCACGTGTGTGTTCTGTGGAACGTCTTTCAAGGCACTGCAGCTCATGATTCAAGGAGTGTTCAACAATCTTTTCCACTTCAGTGTAGACTGGTGCGTGAAAAGGCTCCATTCTTACTTGGTTATCTTGTTTACAAATGATTTGTGCTTCAAGTTTTGATTTGCTTTGACTGCTTCTTTTGTTTGTGTGTGGGGGTGGGGGGGGGGTAAGAAGTATTTTTCTAAACTCCTCACTTTTTATTCTTTTGAGTGTTGGAGGGTGATAGATTTCTTTGGTGTCCCTTCATTATTTCTGTTGCTTTTCCTAGTTACTATGAAAAATCATTTGTCAAGTTAATTATTCTTTTTTTTTTTTACTTGTCGTTTTTAGATCTGATTCTTTCAAAGTCTCTGGTTTGTTTGCTGGGCTACTGAGTTTATAGTTTAATATGATATGTAATTGTATTGTCTAATTTTGCAACACAAAATGTATCATGTAAACTGACAATTGCCTTTGGAAATCCATTAAATAGTCCTGTCTTTTTCTTTTGAATCTGTGATGTCTTGCAAGTGGTTGGTGGAAGCTCCAGTGTGGTTTGCTCCTTCTTTCCTATCAAACATCTATCATTCTGATCTCTCCTCCTTATTGTGTTGCAAGTGTAGTAAAACTTTTACTTAAACTAAAAAACTGTGACTTGTTGATTCCAATAGGCTGGAAGTTCTGCAAGTGATGTTTGTGATTGTCGGAGTGGTCATGGGGGCCTTTGCCGTCATCCTTCTCATCTTTGGCTTCCTGGCTACTGGCGCAACACGGAGCAACATTTACTCCGGAGCCAAGTGCATTATGGGTGGAAGACTAACGGCTGCTTTCGTAAGTGTTTGTTACCAATGTGTTATTAATTAAAGTTATCAGTACAAAGAATTTCATGTAGCTGTTCTATAAAATTCAAATGACCTGTTCAAAAATCGGTGGCCTTTAATTCTTTAATGAACATTTCAGTGAAAATAAAATTACCCCCTCTTCCCCCCCCCCCCCCCCCCCCCCCCCAAACAAAAAAATTTAACGGGGGGGAGCCCCAACTTTCCATTTACCAATACGTCTTTTATATATAGTATATAGTAATGGTAGTAAATGTTTTCCATATGTTTCAGCTTATGATTGTGTCGTACCTTCTGACGGCTGCCTGGCTTGTCATCTTGTCTGTGTGCGTCGTTCCCGTGCTGCTGTATGCGTCGGTGAGCGCCATCTGCGACAAGGAGATATACCAACACACAGCGGATCAGCTGAAGGGATACTGCTTTAACCTGACTCGTTTTGGTAAAAAATAAGTTTTTATCCCAGGCTTACAAATTATAAATCTATTCTATATTATTATGCACAATGACCCACTTGTTTGATCAGCAGATCTTTAATATAATACTGTGTCTGTATACATTAGACATCGGAAAAAGATAAGTGTCAGCATTTCTTTTCCTTTTCATTTTGAATTTACTTCATTGGTGACATTAACGTACATATATATATTTATATATATGTGCTTTTTATTGAAGCTGATATTGTTCTGTTTCATGGGGGTCATAATTATCATATAACACATGAAGTATTAAGGCCGCTAGTTGGCAACAGTTTTGTCCTCATATTTCTAGTCAGTTTGTACATGATACTTTTTCCCCCGTTTCTCTTTTTCTTTGTTTTTTTTGCTCTTTTTTTTAACCTTTTTTTTATAGTAAAGATTTTTTACTCAGTAGATTTGTTTTAAGGAATGGAATGGGCGTGGATTGAACTTGGGCTTAACTAATTTCCAGTTTTCCAAAACTGAAAGCTGAAGCAGCAGTGGGAGCATGTTCTCTACCTCTACCTCTATCACTGCTCCTCTGCACATTCTGGTTATGATACGTTTTGCTACTTATTGTAGATGGAAACAGGAACAAAAGGCTGGTATTAAGTGAATAGTATTTAAAGCACTTGCTTATTTTTTTCTCCATTGTCGCAGGTGTTTATGGATTGGAAACAGGCGCAGACAACATATGTGAGCACTCGGACCTACGAAGCATGTGCAATAAAGTGAGTTCTTGAGATCCTCTCATGTCTTGCTAGTTCAGTCTCCCCGTTTTCCTTATTTTCACGCAACACTTTGTTCTATCTGCCTCAAGGGATAGTCAGTGGATGATTGGCGGGTGCTCTGGTGTGGCTTGCTCCTTTTTTTCTATCAAACAGCTACCGTCCTTATCTCTCCTCCTTCTTTTCTTTGTATGTTACTCTCTAGTAACTCCTCTAATCTTCTACACTTGTACGAGGTATGTGATGCGACATCTTGTCACGGTATTTTGGTGGTTACAGGCCAACTCCATCAGCCCTACAGGAGAAGCTGTATGGGCCAAATGGGAAACTAAGAGTAAGAAGGAGGGCCTATTGTATAATAGATACCTGTCTTCAAGTATGATTTGATCTATCAAGAAGGAGATGGTTTTTGTATGTGTGCTTTTTTTTTATGCTCGGTAAAACTCAAATGAATTGATTATGAGTTAGAAATAATGTTAACCTTGTTTGGTTTGTCTTTGTTTTGTTGTTTTTTTATTTGTTTTTATTCATTTTGCCAACAGGTGGAGGAAGCAGGGCCCATGTTCTGTGTGGCTTGTGGAGCAGCTTTCCTTGTTGTGCTGGGCATGGTAATACCGAAATGGAACTTTTCAGATTCTCTCCTAATATCTAGTCATTTCTTTAGTGTGGGGGATGGGGTGTTCTCTCAGGAAATAATTTCCAAGCTGTTGCAGCACTTATTTTTCACTTTTAGTGGAAGCTAATTGATTCTGATGTGTGTAAAATTATCAATATATTTAAACTTGACACTACGCTACTGAACTTTTTTTCTACAAGTGTATAAATTCCTCCCGTTTTAATTAAGGCTGCACTCTACTACTAACACCCAAACTGGACCTAAAAAACATGTGTGTGGCCTTAATGAAACTTTGTCTGACTCACTGCTGCTAATATTCTTCTTGTATCTAGTTTCATTTCATTCAATAATCATTGATATGTCATAATAAGCCTACTCGTTTTCCACATTATTTCAGGTCAACTTTCTTATAACCCTAGCGGCCAACTACACCCGCATCAAGATCTCACGTGAGCTCACCGAGTACCGGGATGCTGTGGAGCAGGAGGAGCTGGAGATGCAGCTGGCAGAGAAGAGGGGACCGCCTCCCTACAGGGACGGCAGCATCACCTTAGTGTGAACATCAGTGTGTCGCCTCAGGTGTTTGTTTGAGTGGCGGAGGACTGGTGTGTGAATCTAGTTCTCGTGTGAGTGGTAGAGCTGTAGTGTGTAAATCTGGTACTTCTATGACTGGTGGACAACTGCCGTGTCAGTTCCAGTACGTGTATGGATGGTGAAAGGCTGCTGTGTGAAAGAGAATGTAGTGCTTGTCTGAGTGGTAGTGGAGAGATGTGTGGTCTAGTTCTTGTAGAAGAGGTATGAATGCTTGAAGGTTAGTTTTAGTATAAAAGGTGCCAGACTGCTGTGTCAATCAAACATGATGCATGATTATTCTTCATGAATTACTTTATGCTTTGCGCAAATTTATAAAGTTGTCCGTTGCAAATTTTTAAACTCTCAGTTCTTGGTTGACATTAGTCTGCATCATTGGTAAATGAGAAGCTTTCAGACATGAGAAACCTGTTTGGCATTGTGTATTGTGACTGGAGATTTTAACTTTTTGTTAACATGGAGAGATCTGTTTTGTTTTCTCTAGCAACAAGCATAAGCAGTTGGGGCTACATATGAGATGTGGGTGTTTCAAAAAGTCTGTGTAGCTGACAAAATCTTAGATTTACTTAAGAAACAAAGAAATTGTTAACATCCTGATATATCTGTGCTTTATCTTTCAATTTCTGCCTTTTACAGAGCTGTCAGAATTTTTTTTAAGTTGCTCTGATTTAAAAATCAAGTTCTAAATATCGCAGAGATACCTTTTTTATGCATTTGAAAGCGTAACATGAGGATGCTCAAAAAGTTCCTCTCTAATTTGAAGCTCTCTCAAAGTCAAAATTTCGTGATGAGCTGAAAAAACTTTGTTGCTATTTTTTATGTTATACAGATAACACTTAATGACTAGCAATGTACTGATACAATGGATGACTTGAACTGATGCAGCTTCCGATATATTGTCTTGAACAAACCAACACAACAGCATGCATGGCTGTTTGCTGGAAGATGTTATTGTTAGATCGTACGATGAGTAGACTCCTTGAGGAGTGTGAGTGTCTGAAGACTGAGAAGCAGTGTGTTGTGCTCCTTGTTACTTGATTCTTACATTCCTACTTTCCTGTGACTTTTTATCCCACTTGCTCTGTTTTTTGTACTCCTGATTCCCAATTTTTAATTCTCTGTTTGATCACCTTTTTTTTCAACTGCATCCTTTTTAAAAATTCCACACAGGTGGATAAAATGCTGAATAAGTGAATATTTTTTTGCCATTGGGTCGTGATTTATCTTGATCATTGTGAAATGCTCAGTGTCTTAATGTAAAATAGTTCATCAGTGAGAAAATTGGTCCAATGTTGAAGAAATTTGTGTCATCAACCCCTACGGAAACTTATATGTTATAGTCCAAGTAATGTCCTAATTGTTAAAAATCACATTTTGATAGTTTTTGTAATATCTGTTATACTATACCGGTAAGCAAACTTTGCCATTCATCCTCCAAAATGAGTACTTACTATTAAGTTTGGCTTGCTTATGCGTATGAAGTTGCTTTCATTTAAGCACAGACTGTTTTTCATCCATACGAAGCATGATAATTTAGATAATTGGTCATTGTAAGGAGGAGACATGTGGCCTCCTGGCTGTTGCTATTCCTTCTGTGTTGACAGTTCCTTCGCTTGTACTCTCTGTCTTTTAACGGGTTCAATTGTTTGTTTGTTTGTTTTTTTCTTTAATTTTTTGGGAGGGGGGGGATATGAAGTGTCATATATTTACTCTTGTTGTCTTAGAAGGCAGTTTTAACTCTCAGGCCAATGTCAAATATGTGGTAATTTCCAGTTCATGTAAGAATTAAAATTCCAGAAAAATACAAGGAGTATAGCTATAACTTTCGAAACAACAACATTGCTCAAATGTGTCAGTGGTTTCATAATAAACCCCTGGTCAAGAAAGAAAATGTGGGGGCTTTTTCCCTCATCTGTATTATTAATAACTTGTATTTTACTTCATATTTTGTTCTTACCGCGTAAATGAAATGGAGAAATGGTTGTGGTACTCTCAAAATTTCAATATGTTCTGACGTATGTGTGTGTAATTTGTACACTATGCTGTTGTTCAATTGAGATCACATATCGACCAAGCACATTCCCAATTGAGAAGGCCTTTTACCTTTCCATCTGAAAGTTTTTCTGAACAAAACATAATTTACAAAGACTTGTTGTGATTTACAAGTAACAATTAACATTCCAACGTTGTGGTAGTTTCTGATATACACAAGCATAAGTGCATCACGGCGCGGTGGAATCAGGCACCCAATAATTTTTGGGCATGGTGAGTTATTGTTATCATTATATAAAGCTTGTTCGTTTATCAATCTTTCGATGAAAAAAAAAAACCAACATATCTTTAATAGAAGTTGAGATATTTACGATTGAAGGAGGTGGGGGTTGCCTGGTTTCAGAGGTAGAATTTGTAAGAAAATTGCCGCCCAAGTTTGGTGGTTTCCATAGCTTGAGAATTTTTTGTGTGCCTTTAATCAAAGTTTTTCAGTAAAATCCTCACAGAAATGTGTTTATTTTAATGGACATAGAAGGTATTGAGTAAAAAAACGAAAACTAAAAAAAAAATTTGCTTAACAGCCAGAAAAATGGCGGTTCCCGTAATTACATTATTTTGACGAGCGCCTGATTTCACCATGCTGCCTCACAAATGTTACAGTATAGCCCGCATATACTGTTTGTATTTATATTCACATGTAGGTTTCCTGTAGAGCTGTGACTTAACTGACCATAGTTTACAGCATTTACACTTCAAATTGATCCTGTTGTTTCTGAATCTTACTAGTAAATGTGCTACATGTAATGGTCCTTTTTAACAAATGTACGTTTGTCTCGCTCTGTGTTTTGTCTTAGATTTATACCTTAAATGTTCCCTTCTGGCTACCTCCATTGTTCTTCTGTTCAGAGGTGGAAGTAACTGGAGTTCTTCATTATAATTTCTGCCTGTCTTACGTATTCCTCTTCCACCTGCATTGTGTGACTAATTGTTTCTATGTGCTTCTTTGGAAATGTGCACACGTTCTTTTGTGTTTTAAAATGATATTTGTATGCTTACCTGTTACATATCATATTTTTGATTCTCTTCCTCTGGAATTTCTTAATGTCATGAATTGTTTTTGTTTTTTGTTCTTAAGTATAGATAGCCAGTTGCTATGCATTCACTTCTCATACACTCATCATTCATTTTGAAAATTGTATCCCTCTTTCTCCATGATTGGAGGTCATAGGATAATTTGAAATGCAACATAACATTATGTTTCATACGAATCAAGAGCCATAATATCACTTTTGCTATTCCTTTCCAAAGCTGTTGCTGCTCACTCCTTTCAAAATGCTTGGTGCTGTTTCATTGTCATAATAATGTAGCCTGATTTGATCTTAACATCTTTGTAAAGTCAAATAGAGAAATGAAATGTGCCCGCCGATAGTCTCGTTTGCTGGTTGTGTAAGATAGTATATGAAATTTAAATTATACTCTCTCTCTCTCTCTCTCTCTCTTTCTCTCTCTCTCTCTCTCTCTCTCTCTCTCTCTCTCTCTCTCTCTCAACAGAAGCAGAAAAACACACCTCAACAAAAGATCACACACATTATGAGAATGTAGTCACAGTGTTTATTTTCACCTTTATGTTGTTACGTTGTATTTTAAAATGTTTTATTGGTTGTGGAAAAGGCAGCCCTGCCCTAGTTGATCTGAAATCTCTTTACCTCCCAGACCAGTATGGCTGGCAAACGACCTGAGAATATTTTAATGTGTATATGTATTATGAACTGAATGGAATAGTGAATGGATCTTCTTGGGGTTTTTTTTTCATTGTAAGCCAAGTGTTTTAAACTAAAAGACCAAGTAAGTAACTGTGGCATAGTTGGTTACATACAGTCTGGCACAGATAACACGCACACGGAAAACTTGAAATCACCGATAGCTCCTACAGTAGTTTGTCATTTCCCGATCTGTTTAATGGTGTACCCAAATAATAGATTTATCTATCACTTTGGTCAATCCCCAAAGTGTTTGAGAAATCCATGTCTGATTGTACTTGACAAGACTTTTGAACCACCCTAACGTTAAACCAAACACAGTCCTCCTCACACATTTGAAATGTTCAACAAGCACTAAAAAAACAACAATATTCCCAAATTCAACAACTCCTTTTCACTCCTGTGTGGTCTCAACTTTGAAACTCAAGCCAACACTACCCTGCAGTGGATTCTCAGTCACTAAGAAATGAAACTGCAGATGAGTTAGCAAAGGAAAGGGCCAAAATGACTCAGATTGTGGGTGGAATAGACTTGTTGCAGTCCAGAACCCTCATCAAATCTGCTATCAGAGATAATTGGAAGTTTCAACTAGTCCAAGTTCCAACAAATGGGACCTCAATTAGGCCTACCCCCAAAGTAGGACAGATCATGTCACAATCTTCTTGGATGACTTCTCAGCCTGTAATGTCGATGACAATTTCACTTCAATATTGATTTGCATCACTCCTCTCCATAACGCAAGTAAGTAGTTGGAGGGTGCCACTGATAGATCCTACTTCTTTATTTTCCCTCAGTTGTTTCTATATCTGTCTGTCTTACTTTTTCCCAGCATTCAATGACCATTTTTGTGTCAATGTGCTTCTCTTCACTCAAACAAATAAAACAAACTCACTTTCTGTTCACACTCGTTCATAACTTGAGCTTCCAGGTCCTTTTCACACATGCATAGAAGATCTTCTCAAAAGAGGTTCATTTTGTATGTCATTGGTATGGGGCAGTTCCTCTAGATCTGATATCCTGTTTTAACAACATGAGATGTAATTTATTTTTTTAATTTTACCCGTATGTGCATGGTGGAAGCAGCATACTTTGTGAATTACCTTATACACTCGTGTTCGTGCGGGCTAAAGACATATTCAATCATAGAGTCTAACCAGCCCACATAGGGTTTATTCTTTCCAATAAGAGTATTGTATGGTATTGGTGAACATTTTGGACTTTTGCCTGGGTGAACATTTTGGACTTTTGCCTGTGCAGAATTTGCTCAATACTTGTCCTCAGTCCTATCCATATAAATTGGAGAGATCTCTGGAAACGTATCTTGTAATTGTGATTTTATAGCGTAGAGCTGTGTCTTTTATTTTTTTTGTCTTTTTTTTTTTAGTCCTGCATAACTGTATATTCATGAAGTTCTACCCAACTCATTCACCGAAATTAATGTACATACACATAATTTTGTTTTATGAAAAGGAAAAGTAAATCGGTCTTTAACTGTGCCTTCTCTGAACTTTGTAATCCCCAGCTTTTATTTTATTCTTTTGTTCATGCCCTCTCATATCACACAGAAATAACTTTTTTTAATTTTAGACTTCCGTTCCTGGTGCCAGTGAAGAATGAAAAGCTTGCCTGGAAATGTTCATTGCCTTTATTATTTAAAAAATATATATATACCATAATTGTGCATGCTTGTACCATTTATTCTTGAATTGAACAGTGTATCTCTATTGAATGGGGAATCGGAATTGTACACTACACGTGTTATTATTATTATTATTTTTTATTATATCATCATCATCGTCATCATCATCACCATTATATTATTATTATTATTATTATTGTCATTATTATTATTATTATTATAATCATTATTACAATGTGTATTGTGGTTGAGTTCAAAGTCCCAGCTATGACAACGTTGTGCTCAGTTATACATTCACCTGCTCAGCTCAGCTATTTCTATGTATATAAACCAGTGAGATCATTTGATTGGCCAAGGAGGTACTTGTGGGTGGTGGGAGGGGGTGTGTTATGGTGTTTCCGTTGTGTATTGCTACTCCATTTTTCCTATCAAACGACCGTTGTCCTTATCTTCCCTCCTTCTTTTCTTTGTATGTTACTCTCTAGTAACACTTCTAATCTTCAGCTCTTGTATGACCTCTGTGTGATGCTAGTGCCGTAAAACTCTTATTATAATAATAGAACAAAAGAGGACGCCACTGGTTTGTTCTATTTTTGTTATTCTTTCGCTCTGATGTTTCTTTCTATTTCTCCTGTTTATTTTTTAGAAATTGGCTGTTATTGTATTTATGTGGGTAAGATGATCTGTTAGGATGGGAGAGCATTGTTCCAAAATCGACAAGCCAGATTTAATCAAAGTGACTTGTCTCTGCTTTTTCTCTGCTGATCTCACTTGCCTTTTATTCATTTGTTAAAAAATGCATTCTATTCATTTTCAGAACCATTTTATCACAGCTATATATCATATGAAAAATGAATTGAGTGTAGAGGTTTCTTCTACATTTAGCAAATTTTACACGCTATATTGTAATATAATTGATGTTTTTATATCGTCACTGTGTCTAATTAGTTACCATTGAGAAATAAATTCCATATGACAATTACATTTTGATGTTTTCTCCCTTTTTTACCTTTCTGACTTGGAGAGGTTACATAATGGTGTTCTAGTTTTCTGTTTGTTAGTTTGTTGTGTAATTAGATACGTTCAAGTGGTTGATTACAGGGCACTACTGATAGGTCCTACTTCTTTTCTTTTCCACATCTTGTTAATGTCTATCTGTCTGTCTGTCTGTCTGTCTGTCTGTCTGTCTGTCTGTCTTTTTCCTAGCATTAAATGACCGTTATCGTGCCAGTTTGCTTCTCTTTATTCAAACTCAAACAAACATATGATAAGATCATGTGTGGTTAGAAGACTCCACTCTCAGGTCTTTTCTTTCGCTCTGTTTCTGTCTGCCTTGTGTTTTTCCTGCATTAATTGGCAGGGGGCGGGTTGTCGATGTACTTCTCTTTACTCAAACAAACAAAACAGATAAGATAAACGCAGTCTGAGATGAGTTTTCCTGCTCTTATTGATACAGCAGTTACATTCTTAACCTTGTACTACTATCAATACTACCATTATATTAAGTACTATCGGTGTCAGCAGGACTTGCCTACCCCGCAAAATTTAATGATAACTAGTACAGAGCTGGAGAGCGACCTAGAAAGACCTGGATCAGCAGAGTCAGGAAAATACGGACATCGCATGGCATCCCGTGACCCACGCCTTCCAGCTGACTGTGGGTGGTTGGCGGGTGCTCTGGTGTGGTTTGCTTCTTCTTTCCTTTCAAACATCTAATCTGCTATCGTCCTTATCTCTCCTTCTTTTTTGTATTTGTTAATCTCTTGTAACACCTCTAGGCTAATCTTCGGCACTTATATGAGCTTATTGCGTTGCCAGTGCCGAAAAACACTTATTAAAACTAACAGCAGAAAGACGGCTCTTTTTTTTTAATCAAGTAGGCTTGATGTTTTTATGCCCACATCGACACAAATTGGATTACATGTGTATTTTGATTACTGTGTGGCAGGGTTCAACTCTGCCCGCTAGAGCTAACCCGGGCTGAAATGGTCAGGCCAGTAGAAAGACCGAGATACTCGGTAATCATTCTGCCTACTTGAGAATCGGCCTGGCGGTCTCCTGCGTGCGAGGGCGAGGCGCCTAACGCTGTCCCCGTGGTTTTATGCACCCCGCATAATCAAGCAAAATTTGATCATTGTTTGCATAATTTCTAATTATATTTTCGTTTATCACTCTTTGTTAAAATTAACAGAATCGTAAAATTTCATATTTCTTGGGCTCAGTTTGCATAATTTCATAATTTTTCTGGCATAAAACGACGGGGACAGCTAACGGCTACACCACAAACACCTGTGGGTCATTTTATTCCCCATGACTTTGTGAGGGTGAGGATTTGTAGGTCAGATATATCGGGAAGGGATATGCTTAAATTAAAGTTCCAAACAATTGGTTAATAAATGGTTATAGCCTCTTCGAAGTTGACCACGCGGGTTTTGATTCCCGAACAGAAGCAAGATTATGCTTTCGTTTGCTGTGTTTGTTCGTTTGGTTGTTTTTTTTAAAATCAAGTTTCATTATGTTTAGGTCTCTCTCGGGGAGAGGACGGGGGTGGGGGTCAATGTAATATTTTTGGGGTGGGGTGGGAATGTGTTTTTTGATTGGTTGGGGTTGTTGTCGTTTTGTGTTTGTTTTTGTTTGTTTGTTGTTGTTGGGGTTGGGTTTGTTTGTTTTTTTGTTTTT